CAGGATCTTAACGGATTCGAGCAAATGCGAAGCTGGAGTAAATTCTTTGTCATCTATGGCTGTACTCTCACAAAATTACTACCAGGATGGCTCCCAGGCAGTGTTCGGACCAACCTGCTACGACGGTATTTTTCAATTTCTTGCATGAATACCAATCGACTTTATACATAAAAATAAGAACTTGGTCTTCCTTTTTGGGCACAGTATACAGTCTTGTTCGCTGCGGATGCTTGCGCGTGTTTGTGAGGATGGGTTTGGCGCACAGCCAACGCATCTTCCACCAGTTGCTGAAGCGGGTCAGCGACAACAATTGGTGCAAAAGGACTGATACGAACGACAGGATAGAGTATTGTCACTCGCCGAGAGAAAAAAATAAATGGACTGGTGCCGCGCCAAATCGACCCCCTGACGCGCGCCATTATCTGCAGCTAACATGACTGTATGTTCCGGTGGAGGAGGGACGGCCACTGATATGGTTATGAGTTCAGCAGCGTGGGCCGTTGCCCGTTCAGGCAGCTGTGGGGACGACATTTGCATAGGAAGCCGCAGACAGCACGAGACTGCAGTACACCTCACCACACCAGGCCTGAATCGACGACTGCGCAATGATTGGCCGCTGCTGCACTCGCAGTCACTTCTGTGAACACTGCCCTCTCCCTCCCCTCGGAGCTAACCAAGTCTGGTCTGGTGTCCGTAAACAGCCTGATTGTGAAAAAGTTTGAAAAGAACAATGTCTCACAGTCGATGAATCAGAAGTAAAGGAAGCTTTGTGAATTCATTCCATTTACTGTGGAAGGGAGAGTTACAGTATGGGGGGGGAGATGTCAGAGGGTTGGGTTTGGCGTAGCACCAGCCCTATTTCCACCAATTGTTGTCGCTTGTTCCCTTTAGCAGTTGGTGGAGAACATGCTGACGCAGCGCCAAACTAGCCCCCCTCCCCTTGCCGCCGGAAGGCTGCAGTACCTTTAGCGAGAAGGACTATACTTCTTCCTTTATATGCTTTTTTTGCAGATATTCCAAAAGTGTCTGGTTTGTCACTGGATTTCAATATTCTTCAATTCAATGTGTGGGGAGATAACACAATTGTCAACGAGGACAACAATGCCATTCAGGTATGATTCTACTAACTGGGAAGGCTAAACTAGTAGATGGGTGAGCGAAAATCCAATCTTCCCCATGGTCCGTACCCTTTGTGACGCGGGTTTATGCCAAGGCAATCGTACTATGCTGCTTTGGTGGGCGTGGCGAGCCGCGCCCAACGGGCGAGTTGTCCTGCCCGACCGTTGGAATTTAAGTGTTATAAAGACGGGAAATCTCGATATTCGATGGAACCCTGTCTCTGCTTGAATTCAGAACAGTTCGACTGCTTTCACCCTCAAACATGGTGCAGATTGGGAATTTGCCGCACGTTACGCCGCAGCGATGACGCGACAAATCGTGCTTATCTTGTCCGCCTCCCATGTGACGCGTGCGCGACATCACTCTTTCGCCATGTCCCGCAGTGTGTTCAACTACATTACGCCGCACTGGAGGTGGCAACACAAATGGAAGTCAGGCCGATGGAGTCCGTAGTTTGATGGAAGACCCTCCAGTATCTTCAGAGGTATCCCTTCCATACGTCCATATTTACTTATCTGGAAAGGGACGATGTACGAATGTCA